AAAAGCAAGGGCAGAAATCTGGGAAGAAACAGAAAGGGGCTGAGAGCCAGAGCACTGGTGAGGGCTTACAATTGGTGACAGGAGGAAATAGGCAAGGCTGAGTTGTAGAAAGATTTTGTGTTCTGTATCTCATAATGACAGTATTTGAACTCACTGTGATCTGATTTTGTGTCAGTGGAATTTTCTGCTTGGATTTTATTGTCTTGTTTCCTTGTGTGTTGTGTGACTTCTTTCTTTTTCCTTGGAAAATTATGGAGATTCTTTGAGTCCTCAGTGGAGGTTTTGTTCCTCCGGAGAGGGTATGCTTTGACTTCTGCGAGTTACCTCAAGGCACTAACACAGAGTATTAATTCAGACAATAGGTGCATTTAAAGACTGGCTTTACAAGTTCCCAGGGGAGATGCCCCCCACTTGCCCTGATCAAAATATGGACATCTCCTTTTGCATGATGGGTTATTTCCTGTCTGCTCCTGCCTTGAGGGTTTAGCTCTAAGGAGGGGGCACCAGGTTTGGGGAGGGTCACCTAATAGACTCCTTACTTTAGTGGGATTTCAGGCTTTACTTCATGAACCCTAAGCCTTTGCAGCTGTTGAAAAAGAGACTTGGGGCCAAAAGTGGCCTTGGTACCTGCTTCCTTCCCCAGGTTCTTGCTTTCACTTCATTTTGGCCTTTGTCAATGCCCTTCCTTTTGTGCCAGCTAAGCGATGTGCTTTTAAAAAGAGGCTTGTACATTTTCTCCCGTGTTTTAGTTTCAATGGAGAAGGTAGTTCAGGACATCAAGTCTGCCCTAGTGCTAGTTAAAAAGAAGCCTGGTGTGCCTGTTGTCGTGACTTTGGTTTTGATAAGCAGAACATGAGCAGTGTTTTGACTGCTGGGTTTGCAGCATATTAATCCTGTTGCTATGCAGTTGTTGCTGGAAAATAGTCTGTGGGCTCAGGGTTTCTAAACCAACCATTTCTTGGATGCCCAGAGAAGGAAGGAAGGCGAGGGCTTTGGTTTGCTGATTACAAACCATCTCCATGGTCACAGGTTGCTGAGCTCTCCTCTCACAATGTTTTCCCAGCAGCATTCAGGCAGCTATGGCTTCCTTTCATTATTTTCGTACTTCTGGTAAGAGGAAGGAGTGTATACCTGCTTGTGCAGGCATGTATGAGGCAAGAGAAGGGACTATGAAACAGGATCATGGAGCAAACTCAAAGGGTGATTGATTGTTTCCATAGGCCCCTACGGGAATAACCTCCTCATGTTTGTTTTCACTATTATAGGGGTTTGGAGCAAGGAGGAAGAATATAACCCAGGTGTAAGTTCTAAGTCTGAATATTTATTTTGTCTTATAGATGATCCCCATTTGAATCATCTGTATTAGGAAATTAATTAATCAAAAATTACAGAATAAATAATCTGGCATTATTCTAATGTGACTTTTCTTTTTGTTTCTAAGTTTCAAGAGAGGCCCCAAAAGACTGAAGGCAAAGTCGAAGGTACTTAAGGATGTTTACATTCTAAAGCAAGGGGCAAGATTGTCTTCACAGTCAGGATTATCTAGAGAAACAGGACCAATAGGATGTATGTGTATCCATATTATAATGAACTGGCTCACATGATTATGAAGGCTGAGAAGTTGAAAGATGCTGGAGACCCAGGAGAGCCAATGATATAGGTCCAGTCCAAAAGCTGGCAGACTCAAGATCCAAGAAGATCTGATTTTTCAGTTGGAGACAGAGGGCAGAAAAAGACCAAAATCCCAGTTCAAGGAAGGCAGGCAGGAAGAGTTTCCTCTTACTCAGCCTTTTTGTTCTATTCAGGTCTTCAACTGATTGGGTGAGGCCCACCCACATTAGGGAGGGCAATCTGCTTTACTCAGTCTACCAATTTAAATGTTAATCACATACAGAAACTCCTTCATGACACATCTGGAATAATGTATATTGAAATGCTTCCATCCTCATGAACTCACCACTTGGCCATATTCTCTCTTCTTCATCCAACTTCTAAAGACCTTTTAGGAGTTTAGCAGCAACAATTTGCTGTCATTTAAAAACGTGGAGAATTCATGGGGCATTCCATATCCAAGTCAGTTATGGAAGCATTACATGAGATCGTCTGGTCACAGAGCCTTTGATGGGAATAATGTAAATAACAGACTTTATTGAGCATTTAATATGCAGAGCTCTGTTCTAAGCTCATTATAGTTTTTAACTCATTTAATCCTCAGAACAACTCTATGAGTTATTACCATTTTAAAGATGAGGAAACTGAGGCATGGAAGAGTTAAGTAACCTGCCCAAGCAGGGAAGCAGTGACAATGCTTGGGTTCAGATCCCAGAGGTCTGACTAGAGAGCCTACTTTCTTATCCCTGCATTGGTCACTCTCCAAGTACTGAGTACTGACTATGTGCCAGGCACTGCGCTAGGC